TCACAGATCACAGATCATCCTGTTATTCGTCGATTGCCTCGAGCAGGCCCCAGTAACGTCTCCTTCATCCTAGCCCTGAGATTATATTCAAGGCTCTTTAGGAGAATGAGACCCATAATGTAGCCTGCCCACACGGCAGAGTCTGGCAAACTCCCCGTGGCGTACCCAATATGCCAAATACCAGTAACCAAGAAAGTAAACGGCCAAAAGTTAGGTAAGTGGGAGACACAACCACAAACCACCTCTGGCTCAGCTATATAATTGGAGGCATGGCCTCTCTGGTTCCTAATCGAACTCTTTAACGGCCATGATCCCAGAGACTCAGAAACAAATCTAGAAACCCAATGGCTTTTGACAGAAATGCATCCGGTCCCTGCAGTAGGTTACTGGCACCGGGCCACCCCAGCTGGGAACAGGTTTCGTGCCTTGGCCTGTTCCCCTTGGTGGCCCGGTGACCACCATCCTCCAGAGGCCACTGGACAGTCAGGTTTGGGCCTGCAGTGACGAGACACGGGGGGCCTCACCAGATGGTGGTGGAACCGGCCCTTTCCTCCCCATCCCAGCAAGACCCCGAGTCGCCGCCTACAAACGGCCTCTCTGGATCCTGATCAAGCTGATTAATGGCCATGATACCGGAGACTCAGAAACAAATCTTGAAACCCAGCAGCTTTTGGTAGAAATGCATCTGGACCACATACAAGGTGGCCGCCGCCTCAGAGCTTATTGGACAGCCAGGTATGAGCCGGCGGTGACGGGGCAACTGCAGTCTCATGGGAAGGGGGATGGTACCGGCTCATCCTTCATGCCCTACCGAGGTCACGAGTTGCTCTCTGGCACGAGCAGCTCTCTGGCACGGCCATGGCTCCAGAGGCAAAAAGACTTAATCCGGAGCCTGGCAGCTTGCGGCAGAAAAGTGAATGGACCATGCGTCAAACTACGTGCCATGCTTCCCCAGGAGGGAAAGGGTGTTGTTCCTTTCCGCCTTCCCCCTCCCCCCCCCCCCCCCCCCCCCCGCCAGCAGAAAGGTGGCCGCTGCCTCAGAGCTTATAGGAAAGCCAGGTATGAGCTGGCGGTGACGGGGCAACTGCAGTCTCATGGGAAGGGGGGCAGTACCGGCTAGTCCTTCACACCCTACTGAGGTCACGAGTTGCCCCCCACGAGCGGGTCTCCAGCACAGCCATAACACCAGATGCACAGAAACCAATCTCTTAATTATCTGGCTCTTTGCAGAAATCCAAAATCATTATATGATTATATGATTCTCAAAACCAGCTATAGAAAACAAAGTATTTCACAATGCCTTTTCAGCAATTCTGATTGTTGGGGGGAGCGGGGGAATTCTAAACAATAATGGTGCATCTTTTGTCGAAATAATGAATGTAATCAGTGTAGAGAAGAGTTAAGTGGAAATCATCTGCCTCACAGGCGTTGGGAGGGGTGGGAAGGGGGGGTATATTGGGGTTCTTGGTGGTGAAAAATGAGTACTGGTGAAGGGAGAGGTATTTGATCATTGTATGACCGAGACTTAAACCTGAAAGCTTAGTGACTTTTCCCACAGTGATTCAATAAATAAATGAGAAGAAAAAAGTAAACAAAACTATGAAAAAAAAAGTAAGGTGGAGTTCATGACCAATTCAATCAGCTAATCAGTGGCTGAATAAATAGCAGTACTCCTACATAAAAAAAAAGAATCCACAGTTAATCTAGGACCCATGCAAGGCTGAACAGACACAGGGGACGGGGTGGGGGTGGGGAGGGGGTGTGTAAAGCAGAGCCCCAGAGGCCACTTGCTTCCACAATTCCAAAGCACTGCCATACCGCGGGCCGGACTCTCCTGTCTCAGGATAGACCTCACCGAGATAGAATAATCTGTTGAAAATTTGTATATATATATATATATATATATATATATATATATATATGCATTTTGTGACTGAAATGTCCAGGCTTTCTCGGGCCGGGATGGGCTACCTCATTCCTCCACCTCCCCGACTCCCAGAAGCCTCGGCAGTCACGGCCACGCCCCAAAGCTGCCACCCAGTTAAAAAGCTACTCCAGCATTACCTTCCCAATAAAAATACGGAACTCCCTTAACAAATACGATGACCTCTTAGTACCTATATTGTCACTGTCACTGTCCTCCCGTTGTTCATCGATTTGTTCGAGTGGGCCCAGTAATATTGTGGGACTTGTTACTATGTTTGGCATATCGAATATGTCATGGGTAGCTTGCCAGGCTTTGCCGTGCGGGCGAGATACTCTCGGTAGCTGGCTGGGCTCTCCGAGAGGGGTGGAGGAATCGAACTCGGGCAGGCCATGTTGGCTGCGTGCAAGGCAAAAGCCCTACCCGCTGTGCTATTGCTCCAGCCCTATATTGCAAACCATAATACACAAAAGGAAAAGGAGAGAGAGAAAGAAGAAAAGTGCCTCCCATAGAGGTAGGCTGGGGGTAAGGGGTAAGGGGTAGGGTGTTGGGGGTGTTGGGAGGGAAACAGGAGACACTGGTGGTGAGAAATGTGCACTGGTGGGGGGATGAGTGTTGGACCACTCTAAGACTGAAACCCAACCATGAACAGCTTTGTAATGGTCTATCTAACAGGTATTCAATAAAAAGTTAAAAAAAAAAAAGTAAAAAGTAATGTGGAGTTCATGGCTGCCTTAGCTATATTAATCAGTGGCTGAATAAATATCATACTCCTATATTAAAATCATGATCACGATCATCCTTTTGTTCGTTGATTGCCTTGAGCAGGTCCCAGTAACGTCTATTTGTCCTAGCCCTGAGATTTCAAAAAATGCCATATTCAAGGCTCTTTCAGGATTAGGAGAATGAGACCCATCACTGTTATTAGTATTTGGCATATTGGGTACGCCAAGGGGAGTTTGCCAGACTCTGCCGTGTGGGCAGGTTACATTCAGTAGCCTGCCAGGTTGTCCAAAGTAGGAATGAGATAGTAAGATGCTGGGTTTTAGTCTCTGGATCTTAGCCGTTGATGGGATTATATGGTGCTGGGGGTCAGATGGTGGGTGTGATTGTGACCCCGCCTACTGGAAGATGGAGGATCTGGGTGGAGGATGCTCAGCCCCGATCCAGGCAGGCTTGGAGATCTCGAAATAAATATCGCACTCCTACATTAAAATAAATTTAAAAAATTTGAACTCACCTTGTGAAGCCCATCCTTCCTATTGTGATTTATAATTTCAATGTAATTTTTGCTTCATGACTTTTTTTTCTTTTGAGGGTAGGGGGGAAATGTCATACCCAGGGATGCTCAGGAATTACCCTAGTTCTGCACTCAGGAATCACTCCTAGTGGTGCTCAGAGGGGACCATATGGGATGCCAGAGATCAAACCCAGTTAGGAAGCATGTAAGGCAAATGGCTTATCTGCTGTACTATCACTCTGGCCCCTTTATGATTAATTTGATGAATCACAATAGGATAACACAAATGATTTATCCATAGTTATTTGCTTAGATCAAATGAGAATTTTTAGTAATCAAAGCACTAACTAATTTTAGGAAAGAAGAACAGTAACGTACTGTAGAATACCCCTATCTTAAAAAACGTCTCAAAACTTACGAGATACATTCTAGGGAGGTGTAAGATGAGATCAGGTAAGTTGTTCAACAAACAATCACATTGAGGAAAATGTGCAAGGGAACAGAAATTAAAAAATAGAGTTCAGAAAGGAAAGAAACACCACCTACATTGTATCTGTGAGAAAGGTCCACACCTCTTATGAATGGATAGAGGAGGTCATTAACTCACTGTGCACTTTGCAGATTTCACAGGGCACATTTAAAGACATTATTCAGGGGCCAAAGTCCCAGGATAGGTGGCCGGGTCTTGCCCTGCACAGCCTGGTCACCACGTATGATCACTGAGCCCTGCAGGAGTGATCCGTGTGCAGAACCAGAACAAACACCTTGAGCACCACCAGAAATGGCAACCCCCAGAAGAAAAGAAAAAATAGAAATGATTTGACAATGTCAAATATTTACAACACACTCTTCACTTTCTTAATTTCTGGTTGGGACACCAAAGGGCTGGTCTCCCCAGACTTATGAAATGACTACTGAAAGATTCCATTGCTCGTTTGCTCAGACTCTGGTGCTCTGATTAACCCAGATACCCTGGGAGCCGGGAAGTGGGAGCTGTCACCACAACTGGGACAGCTCCCTGGTAGGAGGGAGAATGCTGTCTGACAACTCACTGGGGCAGTCGAGCAAACCCGTGTTCTCAGGGGCTGGGGGTGAATCCCCAGCACTAAACGGCCAGTCGGTACAACACCCAATGCAGAGGACTTTGGATGCAGGATGAGTGGTTGTCCCCCATCCTATCTGACACGACCCCTGCTGTCCCTGGGGGGCCGTGGCGGGTACCACGGGCGGCTCAGCACCCGTTCTCAGGAGCATAGTGGGGTGCCTCTCCCCGTCTCCTGCACCTCCCAGCGGGGCTGGCTTTGGAGACTCAAGTCTGGACCCAAGAACTGCCCCCACCTCCAGCCAGAAAGGCTCTGAAGCCCCTCAAACCCCAGCGAGGGAAAAGCGGGACCCCTTCCTCAACGGCAGGCCCACGAAAGGGGGGTCCCGCCCAGGTCCAAAGCTCCACGCTGCCACACGGCACCTGCTGTCGGAGACGAGCTGTACAGCCTCTTCCTGCCTCTGTTTCCCCACTTGTCAAAGGTCACTGACTCACACCTCCTCCTGGCTGACGGGTGGGGAGTGGCCAAGGAGCCAAGAGTTGAATCAGTGAAACGAAAACAAATACAAGGAAAGGGACGAGCCAGACCTTGAAGGGGGGTGAGGTGAGGGCCTCAAGAAAGGGAAACGGTGGGGGGGCTCAGCCAACAGGATGCGTCTGTGCTAGGGAACCGCAGTGCGACCATGCGCAGGGCGGCAGGAAGACCCCAGGTCTGTGTGTGGGCACCGTGGGGGCCCCGTCTGAGAGCTCCCGGAGGCAGGCGTGGGGGGGCCCCATGGAAGGAGGAGACTTACTTGAAAAATGACGCTACGAAAGAGGAGCGGTCTGGCCTCGCGTCTGTCGTGTCTTCGTCTGTGCTCTCTGCGTCCCCGGCTCCCTCGTCCACAGGGAGGTCCTGGTCATCGGCCATCTGCAAGGAGGCAAGGACCCCGGGAGGTCAGCGCCAGCGGCACCTCGGCCAGATGCTCTTGTCAGAACATACCCGGTGGGGCTCGGGGCTGACTCCTGACTCTGTGCTCGGGGATCACTCCAGGCCCACCTAGGGGCTGGGGGAGTGGACGGACGCGATGCCATGCTGGGTACCAGGCAAGAGCCTCACCTGCTGTGGTACGGTCTTTCCGTATCCCCACGCACTAATTTATTTTCTTTGTGGCTTTCGGGGGTCACACCTGGCGAGGCTTAAGGGTTATTCCAGGGATCACTCCTGCTGGTGCTCAGGTGACAATATGGAATGTGGGGAATCAAATCTGGGTCGGCTGCGTGCAAGGCAAACGCCCTTCCTGCTGTCCGATAATTTTTGATGCTAATCACAAGGGGACGCAGTTTCTCTCTGTCTACAGACGAGCAGGCTTGTCAGTGCAGCCGCCAAACTGTACCATCCAGACAAAGGCGGCAGGGCGGAGTCCCTGTCCCCATGCCAGAGCACAGGACAGCAAGGGAACAAGCCAGAGGCCTCAGGGGCCCCAACACCTCTCGGGGGAGCAATGCAGGGTCATTGTGGCCCGGAAAATGGGACAGGTCCTGACTCCCTGCTCATCCTACTACTGGCCCTCACTCCAGCCCAGATCCGAGATGGTGGTCACCCACGGTCTCAAGCATCTTCCATTTCAGGTGACCGCATGCGAAGTTGGATTTCCGTCCCGTTATTTTGCTACTCGGTACATTCCTGATTCCACAAGAACCAGGAGGCGCCTCCGAGTTTCATGAATCCTGGGATTCTCTGGGGCCCCGTCAGCAGGGACAGCAGACTGTGGCTGGCCGGCCGGCCGCCGCCCAACACAGGAAGTCAGGCATCTGTGCCGTGTCCCACCACTGATCTCTGCCAGGACCAGAATGGGGTGACCGTGACGGACACAAAACCTAAAATACGGACACTACAGCACTTGCCGGAGATGGGCTCGGCCCGGCTCCAGAACTGGCCACCCACGGGCCCTTCCCTGCCCGCCTGCGACTCCCTTTCCCTTAAGCAGGTGAAGGGCAGGAACAGAAACCACCTGATGGGAAAGATCGCTGAGTGGCGCTGTTACTTCACCTTATCTTCTCCAGGCTATCACTATTATAATCGTCCTTATGGGCGAGACAGCCCCGCCCTCCCGCCCTGCCTTTTTCCAGAAAAGGAGTCGGGGCTGAACTAGGCTGATATGTGTCCCGGTCACACAGTCAGGAAGTAGACTTGGATCTGTCCAGCACTGCAAAGGCCCCACAGCCCTGCCCCCCTTGGATCCCAGCAACCTTCCCAGAGCCTCTGGGCAACCCCACGCCCACCTTTGCTCCAGGGAACTGCCCTCACCTCTGCAGGGAGGGGCTCCCGGACTTCTCTCTCACTTCCTACTTCTCACCTCCACTCTGCCCTCTCGGCGGCTGGCATCTGCTGACTGCTCAGGGCATGCCCACAAGGACGCCTGGGACAGGGGACGCCCGGAGGCAGCACTGTGGTCAGCAGGCCCAGGATACATTCCTGGGCACACAAGGCTGTCCACAGCCCTTGACCCCGTTGCATCGAACTACACACACGGCTGGTTTAGAATCTCCAGTGGGGCCCCTCAAGTATGGCCAGTCCTGCACACCCTACACACACACACACACACACACACACACACACACACACACACACACACGAAAGAATTCAACAGTGAACAAGGAAACAAACAACCCAAAGGAAGCCGGACAGCTGAAGGCCAAGCCGCTGCCCAGCCCCTTCTCTGATGTCCAGCTTCACTTCCGTCCCCGGAAGGAGCTGCCAAGGGAACCCTCTGAGACCCCGAATCTGGAGGTTCTCATCTCTGAGCAAGTGAAGAGCGGGTCACTGTTGGAAGAGAGGATCCGCAGCCTGGAGGCTCACCCGGGGATGCCCCCACACCCACCTGTCCACGTGGGGTGCAGGGAGACGTGGAGCCGGACAGACACGAGATACTGACTGATGTAGGCAGGTAGATGAGGGAAGGTCCCGCGCCACACACACACACACACACACACACACACACACACACACACACACGATGGCAATGAAGTTCCCGGGAAGTAGTAAAGTCACCAGTCCCAAGTCTAACCCACCTGGCAGATACAGAAAGCAAAACCTGGTAAGACCTTCTCTAACAGCCGACTCTGAGGAGACTGGACCCCTCCCTACAGAAAGGCCCTGAAGGAAATGACTGAGAACCGTCAATTCCCTCCTTTAATCCGCTGAACCCTCAGCTAGACCCACCCTCCAGGAAAAAGGTCAAGAAAAGGCTGTTCAAAGAACGCCTTGGAAACAACCTTTGCCACAGACTTTTTTTTTTCTTTGTGGGTCACACCCAGCAATGCTCAGGGTTTACTCCCAGCTCAGCACTCCGGAATTACTCCTGGAGGTGCTGGGGGGGGGGGGGGGAGGGCATATGAGATGCTGGGAATCAAACCCAGGTTGGCCACGTGCAAGGCAAACGCCCTACCGGCTGTGCTATCGCTCCAGCCCCAGTAACAGCCTCTTACCTAGCCAGAAAGTCCCACCTGGGGAAGCTTGGGAAAACCCTATAAAGGCCACCTTGAGCAAAGGAAGGGCACGCATATGCTGCCAGAGCCCATGTACTGCTTGTGCCCATGTGGCTGAGCACATGTGTCGCCTGCATCTCCCCTCGAGATGTGGACTTTCATGCTTCCACATCTAATGCTGGGATATACATAGGGACTGGGGTGCAGAGAGCAGTCTTCAGAGGGCCAGGAGACAGCACAACGGGGCCTCACATCCTCAGCCCATCTCTCTTCACGTCTCGGGTGACTCGGGGTGCGAGCCACGCCACGTGCTCCCCACCTCCAGGGGCTGGAACGTGCTAAGTCCACAGCAGTCCACAGAACCGTGTCCTGTTCCACGACCCACAGGTGCCTGAACAAAGTGCCGAGAAGGGCAGTGGAAGGCGCCCCCAGAGAACCCAGGAGGCGAGGGGTCTCGGTCACCACCACACCACCACCACCACCAACACTGGCAGGGTTCTGTTTGGGTTTGAGTCACTTCCGGCATGAGCTGGAAGCACAGTTTCCTCATGTGGGAAACGTGAAAACCCGGAGGTGGCTGAGGATGGAGCAAGAGACCCAGGCCACGCTGCCTTTGGAGTGCCCCCAGGACAGGCCCTGAACTCAGGAAAGGAACTTTCAAATACTTGCCTTCCCTGGTGTTGTTTTATGTTATGGGGTTGGAGCGATAGCGCAGTGGGTAGGGCATTTGCCTTGCACGCGGCCAACCTGGCTGACCCAGGTTCGATTCCTCTGCCTGTCTCGGAGAGCCCGGCAAGCTACTGAGAGTATCTCGCCCGCACAGCAAAGCCTGGCAAGCTCCCCGTGATGTATTTGATATGCCAAACACAGTAACAAGTGTCACAACGGAGACGTTACTGGGCCCGCTAGAGCAAATCGATGAACAACGGGAGGACAGTGACAGTAACCGAGGGGGGGGCGGTGCAGAGGGGCTCGGGCTTACTCCCTGCTGTGTGCTGGGGGCTTTCTTCCTGGTGATGCTCAGGGGGCCACAGTGAGTGTAGTCTCACCTCCTGAGACCCCTCTCAGCCCTCCCCCCGCAATTCTGAAATCTTATCTCTATTTCAAACAGCTCAAGCAGCAGCCTGAGAAAAAACTGGGGTGTGATTATCTAATAAACACACACACTAAGCCTGTGCAGGGTTGGGGCGAAGGGCAACTGGAGGAGAAAAACCATTTCCGGCTATTGTCTGAGGTTGGTTCTCCCACCCCCCTCCCCCGTGGGGATGTAAGGGGGGCATGAATCACCGCAGCTGTGTCCCCCAACCCCAAAGGCACAATGCAGTGGGGAACCCCGTCTCCTCCGAAACAGTCTCCCTCGGGGGCTCTGAGACACCCTCAGCACCGGAATGAGTGGGGCTGGGCTGTCCACTCAGCTGCCCCTCTACTGGGGTGGGGGTGGGGGGTCGGGTGGAGTTTCAGGGCACATTCTGGGCTTCTTGGAAGAGGCTGAGGCTACGCTTCAAGCCAAACAGCTCCCGGAAGGCACAGGCGGCGGGTAACCCCGGGCCTGCTTGCGGGTACTGGGGCGGAAGGCCGGGGTGCAGGACCCCCAAGCCCACCTGGCAATAATGCTCAGAGTCACCTACAAGGGCTCCTATATCCCCCCCCCCAAAAAAGGGTAGGGCTGAATCTAACGGGATCCTAGTAGTTAGAGAGTGGTCCCCGCCCGTCACTTCCTAGGTGGGTCGAAAGGGCCCTGGACCCCGGTGCCCCGGCGGTGCCCACGGCGCTGCTCGCCACGTCCCCTCCTTCGCGTGGCCGGAGCATCCCCGGGACAGAGCGAGGAGACTGACTGGTGCTGCAGCAGGGTGTCAGCACCCCCTACGGCAAATTTCCTCTTCCCGCTGATTCCTCCCGCCCGCCGGCCGGCCGGCCGGGCAGCGCGGCCAGGGGGCGTGGAGAACCTTCTCGACGTAGCCGCCCCCGGCGGGCCCGGGGCCCAGCATCCCCGGGAGGGAGGGTGGGATCGGAGGGGGCAGGGCCCGAGTTACCGTTCCCGGGGGGTCCTGGCAGTTGGAGGGGGCGAGCAGGTCCGCGCAGCGGCGCCGTCCGACGGTCACTCTGCGCCGTGTCGAAGCGAAAGTAAAAGGGCCCCGGGCAGGGGGCGGAGCCGCCTCCGACGGACGCCGAAGGGGCGGGGGCGGGCGCGGCGTGGGGGCGGCCCAGTGGGCCCCGCCTCCAGGGGGCGCCCTGCACCCGGTGGGCCGCGGGCACAGCCTCCGGGGGGCGCCCTCGGGGGGTGGGCCGCGGGCATCACGTCCCGGGGGTCGCCCCCTGCGGGGTAGGCCCCGGGGCCCTGACTCCTGGGGGTCGCCCTGCAAACGGGTGGGCCGCGGTCCCTGCATCCAGGGGGCGCCCTCGCGGGGTGGGCCGCGGGCATCACTTCCCGGGGGGCACGCCTCGCGGGGTGGGCTGCGGGAATCACCTCTCGGGGGGTCGCCCTGCACGGGGTGGGCCGCAGGCATCACCTCCCGGGGGCGGCGCCCTGCACTGGGTAGGCCGCGGGCCCTACATCCGGGGGGCCGCCTCGCGAGGTGGGCGGCGGGCTTCACTTCCCGAGGGCGCCCTGCACGGGGTGGACCATGGGCATCACTTCCTGGGGGGCGTCCTCGCGGGGTGGGCTGCGGGCATCACGTCCCGGGGGTCGCCCCCTGCGGGGTAGGCCCCGGGGCCCTGACTCCTGGGGGTCGCCCTGCAACCGGGTGGGCCGCGGACCCTGCATCCAGGGGGCGCCCTCGCGGGGTGGGCCGCAGGCATCACTTCCCGGGGGTCGCCCTCGCCGGGTGAGTTGTGGACATCACCTCCCGGGGAGGGGGCGCCTGCACCGGGTAGGCCGCGGGCCCTACATCCGGGGGGGGGGGCCCTCGCGAGTTGGGGCGGGGACTTCACTTCCCGAGGGCGCCCTGCACTGGGTGGGCCACGGGCATCAGTTCCTGGCGGGCGCCCTCGCGGGGTGGGCTGCGGGGATCACCTCCCGGGTCGGGGGGCGCCCTGCACGGGGTGGGCCACGGGCATCACCTACATCCGGGGGACGCCCTCGCGAGGTGGGCGGGGGGCTTCACTTCCCGAGGGCACCCTGCACGGGGTGGACCATGGGCATCATCTCCCGGGGGGTGGGGGTGGCGCCCTGCACGGGGTGGGTCGCAGAAATCACTTACCAGGGGGAAGGGGCATCACTTCCCGAGGGGGAGCTGTGTGGCCCGCGGGCACCGCCTCCGGGGGCCTCCCTGCACGGAGTGGGCCGCGGGCATCACTTCCCTCCCCGGGGGCGCCCTGCAAGGCGCCCTCGGGGCGCGCCCTAGGCAGAATGGGGTCTTGGGGGATCCCTCCTCGAATGAGCCCGTGCACGCCATCCGGGAGCCCCCCAGGTGCAAGGGGGGCGCACGTTCCGGAGCCCGCGCCACTCCGAGCAGGCCGGGACGCGAGGAGGCCTGTCCACGCGCAAAACGTCCCCGGGCGGCCACTTTCTGCAGCGCGCGCTTCCCCCCCACAGCACACACCGTCCCAGGCCGCCCCAAACGAGGGTCGCCACCCGAAGCCATCCCGGGTCCAGGCTGGGGATCCGCCGGCAGCCGCTGTCCCTCCCGGTCTACACCGCGACGTGCGTGTCCACTCCAGTGCAAGTGAGCACTGGACTGACCCCCGCCGGACGCTGGACTCCAGTCACATCCCCGGGGGCGGGACTGGGGGACTCGGCACCCGCCTCTAAACTAGTTCCCTTCCCCTCCCTACCCTCATTCCCAGAGCCGAGTCTCTCCGGCCGACCGTGGGCACCGCGGGGGTCTTCGCGCTGCGCGGGTGGGTGGTGGCCTCTGGCAGCAAGTTCCCACCCGCTTCCCCGCGGTCCGGACGCCCCCTTGCGTCCGCCGCCCGGAATGGCCTTGGTGGGGACTGGGCGTTGCCAGCGGCCACCGGTCCCCTCCCTTGAATATTGTGGCAAAAATCTCACGGAACAAAAGGTTTAAGAAGGGCTTGCCCCGGGTTCGGAGCGATAGTGAAGCAGGTCAGGTGTTTGCCTTGATCGCTGCCCACCCGGGTTCAATCCCAGGCGTCCCATCTGGCCCCCTGAGCACTCCCATCTGGTAAACCCTGAGACTCCTGAGCGCAGAGCCAGGAATGATGACCCCTGAACATCACCGGTTGTGACCTAGAACCATCACTCCCGAGAAAAATGTAACCACCGAGGAGAACGCAACCAGGCCCGTAGTGCTGAGATGAACTAGGCCTATCCTAGTCATCAATTTGCATGGGATATAACCAAGATATCTATATACATCTGAAACTAATATAATTGTCAGTGTCTCCGCTTAAAAAAATAATAATTCGGGCACCGCCCCCACGCAACTGAAGGGAATAATTAGAACTCATTAAAAAGTTCTAATTTCTTTCAGAAAACTTTCTCAATGTTTTAAGTCCGGTTTTCTGATAAAGAGATGGTACACACGGTATTACCCCGCCCTGTCCTAATTCCTATGCCAAGAACTAGCCCTGGGAGCTCACTTGAAGAGGCAGGTGCTTCTGAGAAGTGGGGCTTGAGGACAGAGCCCTGGGGGATGGGAGTCCTCAGTGTCCTGGGAAAGTACCTGTAAGGGGCCACGGGGCCTCCCTGGCATCTCCCTCCAGGTGAACACAGAAATTGCAGTTGGCAGTCTTTCGGGAAGAGGGCGGTTGCTGGCACGGTCAGCGTGGTTCGACTACCTCCCCACCCCAACCCCCAAACTGTGAGAAAGATATCTGTCATAAAAATCTGTCATTTTGTTACAGAACCACAACAGGCTAAGACAGGCCTTACCACTCTCTCCATGTTTCTAAAATATGGGAATAACCTCAGTCCTGATAAACACTGAAACAAAACTAGAGACTAATCGAATTCCTTTTTAAAGAAAATTATGAATCATCTGAGAAATGAAAATTTCTGTTAGTAAAGCAAATTACTTAACTTTCTAGATCATCTACTTTAGAAAGGGACGTATTTTGCGGGTTAATTCTGAGATGCAAGGAAATGCAAACCCTTAAAGTGAATCTCAATGAACAGCCTCTCTGGCTCCTTACCAAGCTGCTTAACGGCCATGATTCCAGAGACTCAGAAACAAATCTCAAAACCCAGTGGCTTTTGGCAGAAATGTGTCCAGACCCCACAGTAGGTACTGTTGCTAGGCCACCCCAGGTTGGAAAGGGTGCTGTCCCTCCGCCTGCTCCCCCTTGGTGGACCAGTGGCCGCCATCTTCCAGAGGCCATTGGACAGTCAGGCTTGGGCCCTCAGTGACGAGACATGTTGGGCCTCACGGGATGGGTGTGGAGCCGGTCCTGTCCTCCCCACCCCAACGAGACCCCAAGTCATCGCCCACGAACGGCCTCTCTGGGTCCTGATCAAGCTGCTTAATGGCCATAATCCCAGAGACCAGAAACAAATCTCGGAACCCAGCAGGTTTTGGCAGAAATCCCTCCAGATTTAAGTGTTAAAATTTCGGAATTTCAAAATCGCGCAGCCACTACTGCAGCCACACATCATATGTTATTCATAACCAGCAATAGAAAACAAATTGTCTACTGTTGCCTTTTCAGCAGATCTGAGTGTTGGGGTAAAATCTCACATAATAATGGTGGGTCTGGTGTCAAAATATTGAATGTGATCAAAGTAGAGAGAGAGTAATGTGGAAATCACCTGTGGCCCCACAGGTAGGGGGAGGGTGTGGGATGGGGGTATACTGGGGTTGTTGGGGGTGGAGAATGGACACTGGTGAAGGTAGGAATGTTTTATTGTATGACCGAGACTTAGACCCGAAAGCTTTGTAACTGCTCTCACGGTGATTCAATAAATAAAATTATAAAAAATGAAAAAAAAAAGTAAGGTGGAGTTCATGCACAATTCAATCAGCTAATCAGTGGCTGAATAAATAGCAGTACTCCTGCATAAAAAAAAAAGTGAATCTCAGGTTTGGAACGATAATACAGTGGATAAGGTGCCTGCCTTGCACGGGGCTGCCCTGGCTTCCACCTCCAGCCCCCCATATAATCCCTGAGCTGCCCAGAATGATCCTTGAGTGCAGAGACAGGAGTAAGCCAAAACCCAAAACCAGAAAAAAGAAAGAAAATCTACTTATTTTATAGACAACAAGGCTTGAACAATTGCTCGCGTTACAAGCTTACTAACTGCATAAGCAGAATCAAGTTACCTGTAGCACTGTAGCACTGTCTTCCTGTTGTTCATTGTTTTGTTCAAGCGGGCCCAGTCACTGTCACTGTCATTGTCCTCCCACTGTTCATCGATTTTGCTCGAGCGGGCCCAGTAACATCTCCATTTTGAGACTTCTTGTTACTGTGTTTGGTATATTGAATATGTCACGGGTAGCCAGGCTTTGCCGTGTGGGCGAGATACTCTTGGTAGCTTGCCGGGCTCTCTGAGAGGGGTGGAAGAATCGCCTAGAAAAGTAATAAATTTTCCACCCATCATAGGCTATATCATAAATTACACGATGCAAAGGCTAGCATGTTTTGCTTATAGGTGTTCGATGCTGCCTCAGACAGGTGATTAGAGGAAAACTTGGCTGTTTTCAGTTCTTTATTGTAGGTGGGCAGGGAAGAATCCAAAGGGATCACTTTAAGGCCTGACTATCACATTGGAAACAGCTAAAATCATGGAACTATGGGAGGGAGGAACTCTGAACTTTTCCCTCCACCTGACTGTACTGATACTAAGAATTTATTCTCTCTCTCTCTCTCTCTCTCTCTCTCTCTCTCTCTCTCTCTCTGTGTGTGTGCACGCACAGGAGATGAAACCAGGACTTACTTCATTTTGCATTTCTGGGGTGCAGAGGAGATGAGGTGAGGGGACGGTGGAGGGGTGGAGGGGCTGTGCGGTTCTCTGGCCATGTGAAGATGCTGTCAGTTATGTCATATCATAGTGCGCCCTATTAGGCGTATTGTGTTACATAGGATCATGCGATATCCTTGAGCTCCATCCTCTGACCCCTGGGATCGCTGCTAACCTTGGCACCTGTGGTGTCTCACTGGCCTTGACCCATGTCATTGCTGTACCTGTCATTGTGTGCTTCTGCGGTTGGAGCATGAGTGCCCCAAAG